GTTACGAACGACCGCAACAAGATAGCATGCCCAGGACATTTTCTGCCAACAGTTGGACAACAGCCTTACAAGCTTACTGCTCTTGGTGCTTATTGTACTGGGCGTTGGAGTCAGCGTGCCGGACCGTTCCTTGCGGTGCGTCTATGTATAACGTTGCAAAATGAAGTCAACTTCACTGACTGAACTGTTTCACCTCTGTATCTAGCAAAATATTCTCACAGTCATCCCATTCTTCTTATTAATGGTCAGTCTGATTCTCGGGCTTCTGTCCAACTTTCTTCCCTCCGTCTCTTTTAAACTTTACTGAGGAACAAACTGCTTCCCTCTTACAGAACAAGCTGCTAGTTACGAATTTGCTGACCTTTGCATACGTACGAAAAGCGACCAGGAAGCTCAACAAGACACTCCAAGAGGCTGCTGATCAATATTCTCGCAAACCTTCTGAAGTAATTAAAGAAGATCTACGAGATCCTCTAGCATTCTTTAAATCATTGTCTCGAAAGCCGTCAGCTACTGTCGCTGAACCCATCATCTCAGTGCGAGCATCAATTGTATCACCAGCCATACGAGACGTTCCTGAAATTGTACTTACCAGTCCATCACTACCTTTTCTGCCGGTGTCTCCAACTTCACCGCCGAGATCTCCGTCAGACAAGATAGTAGAGAGACCTGTATCCGTTTTGCTACCACGGCAAAGGAGTGTGTCAAATTTCAGCGGGAAACAATGTGCTGATCGACAAAAACTACTTGAGATTTCTCTGTTTTTCAAATTCTTGAGTATATTGATTGGATTTGCCGTATTTTGTGGTAAATGACATCGTGGATCTTTCTTTACAATTTTGTTGCTTGCAGTTGTTTCACGGGTGCTAACAACAACTTCAAAGACATAGGACTCTACGGCTGTCTTATGTGCTACTGCTTTCTAACAGGAAAAGAGCCACTTCTAATTTTCGATGCTATTGCATCCACACTGCTACTATATCATCCAGCGGTTAACGGTCTGATCGTGCTTTGGACTAATGTGCCCTTTCAAGTTAAAGCTCTAGCAGTTTTTAAGATCAAGAACGAGAGATATAGTTTATCGCAACGAGGATCTCAAAACAATAGTCATGCTTCTGCATAGTAGCCAACTGCTTACAACTTCCATGTCTGATTAGTGTTAATAAATATTTGTTTATATGGTGTCAATGAAAGCGATCGGCCATTTGTTTGTGGGCAGTTCAAAGCCTGAAACCAACGACTCTGATAGCACGTGCGATTTTCAAGACGTGCTGGTTTGCTTGGATGAAACCCTTGAGCCTTGAGTTGCAACAATTTCCTCAATCTTTTGCAGAATACCAACAACCGAGAAAAGAGATGCTATCTTGAATTGAAGTAACTGCCAATGGATTAAAAGTATCGTCAATAGTAGCTTGTCCGGCCAAACACCCGCCGATCGATATAACGTCTGTCTTGCAATTTGAGAGACCCTGAATGCACCTTCATCATGCAGACAAATAGGTTTGCCCTGATAACAAGGTAACAAGAAACAGTAGCAGCACGGAATAGACAGAATCCAAGCAACCTTTACTCTAGGAAAATCCACAAAGATTTACATTTGCGGAAATTTATTCCTGAATCAAGCAGGAATTTTAGTCACCCGCCCGTACTTGAAAATAGGTTTTACACCTTAATACCAATTCACCTCAAAGTCGAATACTAGGCTTCGCATGGAAGTGCCTACTCTCTCTGGTTTCGTAACGCCACCATGGTCAACTACCACGTACATTCACGTCATCCTAACATTACCACCACTACTCTTCGCGGGAGTACTGCACACCTTCCTCTTTACCTTGTACATGAAGAATCGAGACTTAAGAACAAATCGGCCAGGCGTGTTCTTATTTGCCATATTTGTTGCTGATGCTTTGCAATCCTGGTTGAATTTCGGTGTATATCTTGCTGGGATTGTTCAAGGCCAGTTTCCAGGGCAATCGCAGATGCTATGTAATGTACAAGGATCATTGAACATTCTCCTTATGAGTGCCACTTTGGTTAATCTGGGAATATTATCTGTGGATCGCTATATCGCTGTTAATTTTGTAATTGCTAAGCAAAACTAAATTGGTCTTGCGTACGTAACTGACATTTTGTCTATTCTAGAACAAAGTCCATGGCGATAAAGTAACAATGATTTTGTGCTGTTATCCCTGGGTTTGGGGTTTAGCAGCAATACTGCCTCCATTAAGTAAGTCGAGTGTTGTTGACCACACGGACTTTATATATAGATGACTGACAACGTTGTATAACAAAGTTGGACAAGAACCGTACAAGCTTACACGTCTTGGATCCTACTGTGCTGGGAGGTGGAATGAACGCTCGGGAATGTTTCTTGGGGTAACCGTGACTGAGAACAAGTGCTTCTTGATATCGCCTGACGCCATTATTTGGTTTTGCAACTCTAGCAAAACATGTTGACGGTCATTCCGTTCCTCCTCCTAACGGTAAATTGTATGCTTTATTTCTGGATACAAAGACCTGATGAACTGATCACAAAAACTTTGACCGTCCAAAGCTCAAGGTTCTCATCAGCACATCACTCACCCTCGCTTACGTAAGAAAGACAACCAAAAGCCTCAACAAGACACTGCGAGAAGCGGCTAGTCAGTACTCTCGCCAAAACTCTCAAGCACCAACAGAAGAACAACGCAAGAGTTCAGTTCTCCTCAATTCAAGCTTTCGAAAAATTTCGACTATGAGCTCGCCGGTTATACCGATGCAGGCATCAGTTTTATCGTCACCGATATTAGAAAATCCTGAAGGGATGTTTCCTGCGACAGTGCTGCCTTCTACACCGACATCACCAACATCTCCATCAGCCAAGTTAATCAACCAGCAATCATCAGTGTCAATACTTCAGCACAAGACCATGTCACATCCGAGAAAGAGAGAGAACAGCGATGGACAGAAACTGCTTGAAATTGCTCTCTTTTTCAAGTTTTTGAGTATATTGATTGGATTTGGTGTTTGCTGGGGTATGCTACTTGTCTTCAGCATCTTCAGTTTTTTGTCATCGTTTTCTTACGTTTCTCGGCATCTTTTTCTCCAAGGGCTGTATGGTTGCCTAATGTACTATTGCTTCTTTACGGGAAATGAAGCACCACTATATGTCGATGCCGTTGCAACAACACTACTGCTACTTCATCCAGCCGTAAACGGTCTAGTAGTGCTCTGGACAAATATTCCATTTCAGGTTAAAGCACTAGCAGTGTTTGGAATCAAGATGAAGAGACAGGGGATACCGAAATCGCCTTCACGATCTGCTAGCCATGCCTCTGCTTAGTGCAACCAGTTCCACTCCTTATGTGTAAAAGCTTATAATCGTATTGTATTTACTCTTAATGAACAAAAGACATCAGCATGGTCATTCAATGGCAACTTAAGCTGGCCCATCAAAAGCTCTCTTCCTGTGACTTTGCAAGGCTTTTGTCATATTACTTCAAAATTCCTTTCCTGGAAATCCGTTCGTTTCCACTTGTAGTGAAGCTTGCCACCTAATCCGATACAGAAGGAGGACATACATAGGAGGACATACATAGGGTTTCAAAGGAGTCAAAATACATGATCGTTTCCACTTTTTCTTTGTCGCGGATATCATAAGTAAGTCTCAAAATTTCATCGTTTTGCAGTCTCTGACAAAAAAAAACATCACAATAGCTTCCATCACTGACCTTCCCACTGAAATAATACTTGACATCATTCGTTCACTACCCCTAGAGCTCTACCATGTCTACAAGCCTGTTCATATAATCTCGGATACATAAACACGGAAGCACTGCTCTCAGCGATGAAAGAGCACACCCACATCCCAACTCTACAGATCAAGTTTGACCAGTGCCGCATCCAAGAATCCTACTTTGATAGTCTCTCTACACAGCATAAATCAGTAGTAGCAGCTGAAATGAAACTCAGTCTGAACGATTTGAGCTTACGGGAGGTTAATGTAGCGTAATGCTCAATTGGGTTGTGCCTGCACAAACCGAAAACCTGTAGATTATCGTCAATGCTTTTGACACACGTAGTCTTAGAATGGAACTAGTAGCAGCCAGTTTCCCAATCTCTAAACCCTCGAAGTCTTGAGTTTCTACTCGTCCATAGCGGTACTCACCTGTGTACGGGATCATGCAATTCCACCAACCTCGGTAACACTGACAGGGGTAGAATTCTTGCGCCAGGCTGCTACATGTAGCTCGAGGCTATACAAAACCATTGCCGCGAGCCGACCACACTCATACACGCTAAACTTGGAATGTGGTATACTTTTGACGCCAGAGCTAGAGCAGCTCGTGACTTAAATACGCCTCCTAGAAATAGTTGTCGATCAAAGTAGTACTTTTACTCGTCTCCTCTGGCTCGTAATTTGCAGTCTTTGGTGTAATGATGAATACTAAGGCATCCTTCCGTGATTTGATTGCAGCTGATTTGCCACCATCATTAGAACTATCTGTATATTGGTATGGAAGTGGGAGTACTTGGAATGGCTTCGAGTTTACAGCACTAGGTACAAACCTCGCTATCAAAGAGTAAAATCTCTAAATATTTATTCCAAAAAGTATGTAGTGGACATGGAATCTGCAGTTTATTTCTTAGACAAAGTGACACCAGACTCAAATATCGATGCTCATGTTTGGTATTGGCCTTCAGGATCTGGTGGAGAAGATAACGAAGAGGATGACGATGACGAAGAGGATGACGATGACGAAGAGGCTGAGGATAGTGGCGAAGACGGTAATGAAGGCGAGGGCGAGGAAAATGCCTAGTCAGCCCTGAAGAGCCAGCATAACGAAAGACTGCCACTTCATATTCTATAAAACTTCATAATGAATACACAAGAGCGGAACAATATTGTTACGTAATTCTTTAAATTCTGCTTAGCGCATTTCGTTCTAGTTCGTGCAAATCACCGCGATCTGTTGATCAAAAGTTATGCTTATATTTAAGTTGACAAAAAGATGCTAGCTCTATATGTTTAATGGCAACGCGAAATCCGACACCGCCTTGAAGCTAAATTTGACGGCATAGTCACTCTTCTTTGCAGCACCAAATTCATTCAACATCTTTTCAGCGTCTTCTCCGTGAATGGTGCTTAGCACAGTGACCCGACTAGCAGGATCCAAGAATCGTGTCAGATACACATTGATGACACGACGTAAATCATCTTTGGTGACTTTATAGAGACTTTGTTGTTCGATTTCTTCTTCTTCTAGTGTTGCGTATCCCTGAGAGAGAGGGAGTCAATAGAAATCTCTTTAGTATCAAATTTAATCTTTACATGGCGGTTCTCTTTGTCTAAACTGAGCGCAAAAAAACGACTTGTTCAACCAAATGAGGCACATGAAGTGCAACCGAATATGACTCACCCTAACAGCACCACGTAACGACGTGCTAATAAGACTAGCAGCAGTTGACCTCGACGAGCACAACCTATAAGCACATGCAGCTCTAGCAGTATCAATCTGGAACTGTGAGCAAGTATCCTCAAAGCCTTTAGGAGTCACTAGATTCTCAATGATGGCATAAAATGCCAGCAAGGCTTTATAAGGATCTGAAGCCTCTCGCACTTCATATAGTAGTTGACCAGTCCATATTGCGAGTGATAAATCAGCTCCGTACGCATGTCTAAAAAAGACATAAACAAGTTGTAAAGAAGAGTTATATTTTGGTCCGAAGGCTTTCTTTGAGTGCAGATTAGTTTAGCTTACCCATTACCACGAACAGCAGTATACAACGGCCCTTCAGTCTGCGACAACAATTCAGCCAACAGCATGACAGAGTACTTTTCCACAGGAGTGGCGGGCTTCATTACATCACATGGTACGGCTTGCAACAAGTATGAAGCTGTGACACCAGCAATAGGTACCATAACGGATCTAAACTCTGGAGCAACGTCTTCCAGGCGGTATACTTGTCGTGGGAATGGGAAAGGTGATGGTGGAAGCTCTATTAAACCTTCTCCTGCGAATGCACCGCTTTTCCTTGTAGATTTCTTAGCACCATTACTGCCATTACGCGATGATGTTGAAGTGCTATTTTCGTCTAGTGCGGATGCTGCTTTGACACATTCTTCCTTCCAGATACGTAAGAAGGCGTTCGATACGGTGTGAATGTCTTTAAATTCGTTTTCTGGGATGCTTATTTGTACAAATCCTGTTGTAGCTGCTGCTGTTGGCGATGACGATGATTGACTCTTTACACCCGCCACAGCCTGCCGTAGATAATCACGGACTTGAGACAGATGGTTGAGCACAGTTTGACCGTTACCATGTCTAAGCGCCGACAACACACTCTTCAAAAATGCTTCCTGTCTAAATATAGAGATGTCCAAGTCATTGCCACGGGTACTCGACGGTGCCGTATTACTGGATTTATTACTACTTGCCTTGGTTTTTCGATTACTAGGTACGACGGGTTTATTATAGGTTGTGGATAACGGACATGTAATTCGAGTCATGACAGCAACAGCCATCGAGTAACCATCACGTTTGGTTTCAGCGATCTCAGATATGAGGTTTTTAGCTATAGATACAACTCGGTCTTCTGTAAATATAGATTGTGTCAATACACGACACAACCATTTCATGGCGACTTCCCATTCATGTCGTTCAGCACATCCATAGACTGAGAAGATTTCAGACAGCCAAGACGTATGGAAGACGTCGTTACCAAATCCGATAGAGGCTTCATGAGATATAAATAATTCCGAGGTCTTCTTTGCCACATCTCTATAATCCATGGCTCCTATAGATCCAACACCGGCCAGAGGTATTTGGAATAACAGCTCTTGAAACAAGACCAAGTATGGTTTGAGTACTGCTGGAAGTCCCGAAGTGTCTATGCCAAGACGGACATGTACGAATGCCGTCTCTGTTGATACGACCTGTATGGCTCCAAACGGTTGAGCAGCCTCTTTCGACAAGATGGAACTAGATACAGATAATTTAGGTGCCCGAGATACATCAGGTACTGGCGGCATTTGAGCCTTCAAAGGCTCAGATAATATAGGTAGATTCTCTTTTACTGCAGCTTCTACTTGTACTTTGAGCTTTTTCAGATTATCCGGGCCGATTTCTTCAGCCCGTCGTTTACGATCTTCTACTTCTTTGTCGGCGTTTTCTTTGGCCTTCTTCTCGTCAGGAATACCTAATACTTCAAAGCATGGTGCATCTAGCAACCAATACTGTACAAGTTGTTTCCAAAACTCGGCGGGCTTCTTTTGCAAATCGTCTAATAAGTCTAGCACTGATACAAAGCCGCTGATCAATGACCTTGTCTTGGAAGCTGACGTTCCAAAACGCAGTCTGACAAAGTCCCGTACTAGACGTTCCATTACCCAGTCGTGAGGATCCTACAAGGGTACAGTAGTTGATCAGGTAGTGTAAAGTGGTACGACTATGCTTTGGGTGCACATTACGTGTCATGCTGGTAATTTTTTTTTTGCCTCAATTCGTGTTTTTGCGCATGACCAGTTTCAACTTCCGTAGACAAACAACTTACATCTTCTAAAGTTTCTAAGAGCTTACGACGATGCCTCAAGATCGCAGCTTGTATAGTATCCATAGACGGAAAGCCATCACCAATAAAATCCAACAAGACTTGTCTCATCAAATGATAATATACCTTCTCTTCAAACAAGTCTGTTCTATGTGATTCTTCCATATTCTCATCGTCATCTCCCTCTTCATGATCTCCGTCGTCTTCTTCATCATCGTCATTATCAGTATCATGACTGTGATCAGTGTCATAGCTTGGTTCATCATCTGACTCGCCATCACCACCACCATCTCCATATGGCACACCATTAAATCCTAGTACGAGGACAGACTGAACATATCCTCGTAAATCGAAATCCACATCTGATGCTAATGGATTTGACAATTCTACGAATTTTTGAGCGAGTGGTGATGCGGCTGTATCTTGCAGGTATCTAAATAAGACATCCAATGCTAGGAGAGTCGGTATGTCGTCTGACGGCGGCCCTCTCCATCCTAAAAGCACGAAAAATGGACGAAATAAACAGCTGTTTAGTGGGGCGACAAACACGTTCACTTCAATACAATCGTACCATAAGTAACAGATCCAACTTGTTCATCAGACGATGGAAATCGCACTGTTTCACTAGTGAATTTAGGTGTAGATGGTGCTAGAGGTGGTATTTCAATCTTGCCCATTTGGACATGAGTACTCTTCGACACTGATTGTTGAAAAGATGGCATAGAGTCCAATTTTGCGAATACACGTTGTGGATCTACTTGTCCACAGATGATGACAGTGACATTATTGAGATGATAAAATTGTTGATGGTATGTTATGATTTCTTGGTTTGTCAGCTTTGCAATGTCTGGAGTAAGACCACCACATTCGTACGAGTATGTTGTCTTGTCTCCGAATATGAGACGGCGTAAAGCTAAATCGACCTGAAATTTAAAAAGGAATCAGTGTCGCGACCAAAAAAGTTGAAGCAGAAAGATATGTCATACCATGTCCGATTCACTGTGCTCTCTTCCTGCCATTTCACAATACACCACGCCCTGACATTTAGCATCACCATCGACGTGATATACTTCAGTTATGAACTGTGCATCACGTAACGTCGGATTGATGACATGGTCCAAGAACACGGGCAGCACTTCAATCATTCCTTCCTCGCCAGCACAGGTTAAAGTGTAATTGGTATGATCTTCAGTTGTGTATGCATTTGTTCCAGTTGACAAGCAGCGTGTTGCCAGACAATCTAGATATCCACGCTGAGGGATGGACGTGCTGCCACAGAAAATCAAGTGTTCGAGGGTATGCGGTGCTCCATTGTTGCTATCACATAGCGTAGGTACTAGAAGAAAAAGAAAGAATAATAAGGATGAATATGAAGGTTTAATATTCGAGACAAGAGTATGATGGGGATGAAGCTTTCAATAAAACAAGGGACGAGAAATGTAATGTTGATGGATACAGAAGAACAACAAATTTTCAAGCCAAAAGAGCGTGACATTCAACAAGATGATGTGTAAAATCACGTTCAGAGCCTTGCAATTCTCCTGGTCTCTCCCTTCGAAAGTGATGCATTTCCTTCTACAAAACTTACCCAAGATTGAAGTGCTGACTAGAGGCCCAGGAAGAGAGCAAAAGACAATGCGCAACTCGCAAGCCGGATGCTTGTAGACTTGGATGGAGGTCTTGCTAGTGGCTAATGGCAGCTCTACCGTCTGCTCGAGCCGATACATTGCCGAATTGTGTGGTGAGTTTGGAAGCACTTATTGCCATCAGACGTTGCAAATGTATGCATGCTATTATTATTGGGGTTATGTGGTAACTTGTTGCAACCCAACCCATCCCAACTTGCATATGATGAGCAGTAAAAGGTCAGATCACTGGTTGGAATTCAAAACAGACGGATTTGTTGTTGGTGTTGTTCGGCATCAGAACATTTGAAACTTTGTGGACATCAGTTGCGTTTGACCCATTTGATTTCTTGAAAAACGATACAAAATTGTCTACCAAAACCTCAAACGCATATCAAATGGTGGCATTTGGCTATACTCTTTAATTCCATTTTGCTGAATTGTTGAACTTCTACCATGATGCTACTGTAAAAGGGTGCGGAGAACACGATCGCGCTTATTATCACAGACCCATTTGATGCTCGATTTCTGATCTTGATCAGTTATCACATCTTCCATCGATGGGGTAAAGGCTAAGCTGTACAGCTTCACAAATGTGAAGCACCCAAAACACGAAACCATTGTTATTGAGCTGAACACGGTAAAGAAGTTCAGGGAGAAGATGCCTTGTTTTTTGAAGGTTGGTTGGAGTTGCAACGACTTCACCCTTCTAAAACAGCTTCCATCCTTTGTTTCTTCTTTCGATAAATCTGTGAACTCGGCGGATTGCAGTGGTGAAACATATGGCTTGCGCTAGGAGAAGAGATTTGCTTCTTTCTCTTCTTCGGGAGAGAAGAAAGGCATCCTCTTTTTCAGGCTTGATAACCATCTTTTTTGAAAAAAATCGCCTTTTTTTTTCAAGAATCATAGATGGATTAGCGAGGATGCAAGCCCATAAGACAGTATTTGCTTTTTTTGAGAAGGAAGGTGGTGTCGAATGCGATGATGGACGATCCAATCTTGTTGTTTTGAAGTCACCATCAGTTTCAAATTTGTCTGGAATTTCCAAACAAGTGAATATGACGCCATTCCAACTGAATCTGATGCCCCCAGCTCTGCTACACTTTGATATTACTGAAATTGCTCCCTGTGTGTGACATGACATGATATTTAGCTAACACATTCTACCATCTTTTGACTGCAAAGGTTGGTCTCTTTTGGGACGAAGAATGCTAAGTATAAAGGACCAGCGACACTGAGAATGGTGTTATGGTGACTTTTGCTTGTGTATTTTCCGGAAGAGCCAACTTAAGAGGATCTGGTTTGGGCGTATATTGTTTCTTTGTATGGAATTTGACTTCACTGGTTGTTTGTCTTTTGCCCTCTGCTTTTCTAAATATCGGACGTTGATCGTAGAATATGAATGTAGATGTACATGTACATGTACTCAAGTGATCAGATATTTTCGTTTGATGTGGACCGCCAGTCAAGACACCTTTTTTTGTTGGGCCAGATTCGTAGCTGTTTCGCATGTACATCTCAGATTGATACATTATCAAGCAATCTGTTTAATACAACTACAGCGAGCTATAGACTACTGGCTTATACAACATCGTCAACCTTTCGTTCGGTTCTCACCAGTGCCACCAGACAAGCCTACTTATCAGATACATACAGCACCACACTCATTCAGAATAGCTCCGCCTCATTGTCATCCTCCTCTTCATCCTCGTGGGTCAGAAATAACAGCTACCCTTATCCATCTTGGTTCGTTGATACTTCGCACACGGTCGAGAGTACCTGTGTTGCGCTGCGTCTTCCAGTGTTTCTCATGTACTTGGTGTGTTGACTCGTATTATTGCTGATTCTTGTGTTTGTGCATATTTCTGGAAGTGAAACCCATTTTTTTGTCGTAGCTTTGATCAATTGCGACGATTCTCATCCTCATTGTCTTCCTCATATTGAGGTATGTGCGACTCATCATTTTGAGTTTCGAGTCAATAGAAAGCATCCGTGGAAGACATTCTTTTTGCTTGATTGCCATCTCTCCCTCAATGATCTAGATCAACGCAAACCTTTGGAAAACGCTCAGATTGCACGTACACTTGTTACCAGATCTACAATTTAGTGCTCATGGTATGTTCTCCTTTGCCTTGTTTGAATTGGAGAGCCAGCAAAAAAAACTCTTACAAGCAGGCAGCCTCCATGCAGCTTTTCATCACCAATACCCTCAATACGCCTTGATGACGCATTATGTGAATTTCATGGGTGGGTATTCTCGTTTTACGCCCATTCTGCATTTGACGTTTCAAAGATTGTCACTTTGGTCCATACTGAAGGTACCAGTTGTTAGAACGTAAGAGTTGAAAGTAGATGTGATACTGGCTGCCAAATTGAAGGCATAAGATTCTCTCGTTTTTGTTGTATAGAAAACGGTTTTTAGCAAACAACAGATAACCCCAAAGTGTCGCATAGGTTCAATGTTCGTCTTGATTCTGGCGTCTCTGTTTCTTTAACAGATGCTTCAAATCGGAAGAGGAACGAAAAAAAACCACTAACGATCGCAAATACAGACAATGCTTTCAAATAATTGGCCTTCCTTTAATAACTTTGCAGTTTACATAATTTTTATACAATGAAACAGATACACCACCGAACTCACCCTTCATACAACACGACGCCCAGGCACATGAGCATTCTCATTCGCAAGCCTAGGCACAATATCCCAACTCTCCTTCACCCAACTCTTATAAACCACATGCGGACGCCTCGACAACCGATCAGGATAATGCCCCAGCACATCACTAACCAAATCAGCTCTACCAATCCCACGTTCATCATCCAATATAATATGGGTAACAAACGGTGATATGACTTCAGCAACACTCCCACCACCACATCGAATCCAATCCTCAACAGACTGCATGGGTGAGAGGGGTACTTGATCGACTTGCATATCAGGTCGTTCATTCAATGCATTATCAATAACGTTACATCCTTCGGGACATATATTGTCGACTGCAATCATTTCAGGTGTGATTCGAAGCGTGTTCCAACGATCACAATATGCGACGACTTTGCGCATAAAGTTGCGGCTGTTGCTGAGGGTTGGGATGTAGTGGTCTTCCACAGTCAGGAGAAGTTTTCGGTACTTGGTGGGACGGCCATGTGGATGTGGCTCGTCTTGTGCACCTCGTTTGATAGGGTATTTTAATTTCATCCCTGCATTGATCTAGAGTCGGTTGAGCGAAAATGCATGAGATTTTACAAGTCGACGAGAAAAAAAATGGGAATAAAACTTCATCAATTTGCTCTTTGCCAAAGCAACTCACGTCTTTGTATTCCTTCATATCAATTGAGGCTGTATACGAATCACCATATCTATCTGACACCACCCTCAATTCTCGTTTGGTTTTTGGTGACATATGAAGCATGAATCTGCAAAAAAGGAGCGAAAAAAACGATCAAGGTCCTGAGGCATTGACAGTACTTCAGACATACACTGGCTTCTTGAGCACAAGCTCTTTGCGATCAATGCAGGTTTGAATCCATTCAGACGTAATAACATCATACGGATAGTATTCATTCATCTGAATTCGTGCTTCCCATCGCGAAACTATTTTGAAAAAGTTGAGTGTGAGATTCAAACGTGTTAAGTAAACGAAGAACGAAACCAATGGACCCTAACACACAAAAAAGTAGAAAGTTGACTCACTATGCTTGTCAGCAACAACAATCTGCTCACTCTTCACTTTATCATTCACGCGCAACACAGAAGCTCCACCATGTGCAAGGATCTTGGCTTCAACGAGCCGTCTCCATTCTGTCTTGTTTCCTTGCCCATCATAGTAATCATCACCGGCACCATTCACAACCTCAAAGGCTATTCCTTTAAACAACTGAGAGACTTGGGTGATTTTCGATACATCCATGGGTACAAACTGAGCTCCAATTTCAGGTCGTCTGCTGCTAATACTGATTGCGGTAGTAGCCTTCTTCTTCTTCTTTTTAGGCTCATCACGTCTGGTTTGTAGATATCCATTATTCTGATTCACCAGTCCATTGATATCAGCATATGTAGCAGCCTCTCGATACGATTTATCGTCACGAATCATTACGAAACGTGGAAATCGCAAAGTAGCATTGGCACGGTAATCAACGGTTGGTGTTATTTGACTTGCTTTGACTTGGACTACGATACAGTGGTCAAGTGATGTACGGATATATGATGGTTGTTCCTTCGAGTTGGCAGGATGCGAAAACCAAGATGGTTGATTATGCTTGTCGTACTTCATCCAATGACCATCTTCAGGGTACAGACTTTCAATTTCAGAGTCCTTGTAACCACTACCAAATTTGCAGAACGATAGTGCTCTCAATTGGCCATTTGGATTTTTGGTATCTACAGGTGTCACGACAGCACACCTAAAATTGCATTTTGTAAGGTCAAAAGTTGACTTTCGTTTGATTCACAACAAAGAAGACAAAAGGAGTGAACCAGCTTTCACATACATGAAACTGGACATTCCGCCACCACGACGACCAGATCCTTCTTCAGCACCAACCAAGACTACATCCTATTGCGAAGAAAAGCTAATCAATTAGGCGTAGAAATCCGGGAAAAAAGACGAAGCTCCCCAAAAGATTGTGCTAGTTACTAACACTAACATACCAAATCATCACCCCACGCATCAATATACTCTGGCTTGAATTTATACCATGCTCTGTCATTGCAAATATACTTGCTCTGCGGATGCTTTAATATAAGTCCTTCCTCTCGATCATTCATCACTTTATCAACCATCTCAAGGAATTGGCCTTCAGTACGTCCAACCTTGTGTGCCAGAATCTTGAGATACTCGTTTTGCTCCTTGATAAACTTGCTCATGTATTCCGTTTGGCGTTTCCAAAGTGGCATTTCTCGGAGATCGACATTGTCGTAATTGACACAGTCGAATACGTAATATACGGGTATGTATCGAGAGCCCTCTAGAGATTCAGATATTTGCGAAATATCAGAGACAAAAAAAACGAACGTTACTAGCAAGGTATTCATAACAACATGATGCAGGAAGATCCGTTGACGCGTGGAAGACATTACCTTTGAAAGATGACTTCAAATTTCCAAATGGAGTGAACGTTTCTGAGGTTCGGTCGAAACACATCATTTCACCATCCAATATACAGCTAGGAAGGGGAGGCATTAGGTAAGTAAAGTAACAATATTCAAGGATATGATTCAAGAAACCGGCCAGAACTTACTCTATTCCCTTCTCAAAACAATGATGAATATGAGGGGTAAGAACACCAGATGTAGGCGTGTCTCCATAGTTGTCAGAGTACTGCTTTCCTTTCCTAGTTTGCAAACAAAATAAAGATGAATATATGAATTAATGGATATGGACATTCTCAAGCGAATATACAATCAATCACCCGTCTACCTTGATGACCAGAAATACGTATTATCTTTCCGATGCATCTGAAGCCTTTCACCGTCTAGCTTTGTCTCCATCCAGAACTCGTCGCCTTGAAATAATTTATTGATGTCGCTGATTGCTTTGATGCGACCAGCCAACATGGGACGGAAGGATTTGCCGTACTGTATGGTCTGTGAAATATTGAGAGAAAAAGATGATGTATGAGCCAAAAAAAGACCAAAGATCATCATAGAGGATGTAGCAAAGGTTTCGTGTGTTTCACTGACCACTTCATCCATAGAAAAGACGGTATCTTCATATGGGAGCTCAGCAGTCACTTCAGCAAGCGAACTGGATATGTTGTAAAGCTCGTCTGCGTTGGGATGCCAAGCCTTGAAGATTGATTTTTCGGACAAGCCAATATGGAGACCTAATTTACATTTGTTATTTGATGACAAATGTTAGATTTGATATATAATCATTCCCTATGAGTATTTGTGAAAGTCAAGAACTTACTCTTGAGAATGATACGCACAAGCCAGACTTGTTCTTGCACAGTGCAGTTATCGAAAAAGTAGGTGAGAATGGCTTTTCGTGCTGCGTTACTATAGGGGAAAGTCATTCGGTAACATTCCTTAGCATTGAAACCACAGGAGCTAAACGGAATCACAAAAACCTACGCGTCTGAATATTGCAACTCCTCCAATTTGGCATTGACATCAGATATCGTCAAAGTGCCAGCAAGCTTCTTGACTCTGTTTTGCATAATGTTTTGCAAGACACCAGCGAAATCTGTATGTGGAGAAAGCAGAGGGGAATCGGTACGGTGTTGGGTTGTGAGGACGTGGCAGTACAATGCAAGGCCCAAACGTCGAAAACGACCAAGTAATTCGTACCTCCAGCTGCGTTCTACAATTAACAAAACAGGAAAGTCAGATTTGTTGTGACGAGGATCATAGTACGTGATTCAGCCTTACTCCAGCTTTAACGCCAGGGCGTTTCCAATTGATCAATTCATCACCCGTAATAGGTCCCAAACCCAACACATCTTTGTAGATCTTGGCAAGAGCAGCTTCTTTCAATTGATATGCGCTACGTTCCTTGTCGAACTAGAAGAAAACACAAGGTTTTGTCAAGATTTGCAACACATGCTTGCGTACTTTGATCTTTCACATGGGGAAAACGTTAGTTGAGCTTACAATAGGCACCATCAATCGTAGAGCAGGATAAAAGTCTCCACCAGTGTTTCGCCACTTCTAAAACACGTAAATGTTAAACATAGATTTTTTAAAGTCAGCTCGAGAAGCGACAAGTTTATAACAACACAAGAATCGACGAACAGGATACATGTAACATACTCTCATAAAGTCTTTGAGAAGCCGTTGCTGCTTCTCAGCCTTCGCAACAACACCTCGTTTACGAGACAGATTTTCCAGTTGCTGAAACAGGGTGCATAGATCTGAAAACTTGAATTGAGACGCGGTATCGGGCTTCTCAGGCTTCTCAGTGGCAGGTCCTTTCCCCTTGTCTTTGAGAGGACTCATCGTTTCTGAGTTTGAGGAAGCTAGCTAAGTGACCAGTTGCTGAAGCAGATTGCTGATATTATACAGCATGCTAGATAGCAGGACAACAGGACAACGTGATAAATATCGTTTGTAAGTTGCAAATCTCTCGAAATTCGAAACGCGTCCATGTGGCTCATTCGAGTGGTAAGATAGAACTGCGGAACTGACGCACTGGCATGATAAACTTGGACCTGTTTCCAATATTCGTGTTGATGTAAATACTATATGTTGATTTATGATATAGAACGATAGAATGATGCGATGTTAATACTATATAATCCATTTCGATCCACCTTCTACCATCATGGCTTTCTCGTCCAATGCCAAACAACCTCCCCATTCATCTTGACCACCTTTATCTCACTCATAACCACCTTAGCACACCCATACGAGCAGCCACCCGTTATATACGCCTTTCCTACAGCTCCCTTCCTTAAACCCGACGTGCCCAGCCGAACTTCCTCAGTCTGTGACAATCTCTCATACACAGGTACTTCAACAGTAGCAGTAGATGCCCACCCCAGTATGGATTGTTCCGTATATCCAAAGTTTATACCGTCCATGACGAATACGGGAGATAGTTCGAGACCGGGAAAGTGTTTGTTGAAGATTGGTTCAGCTTGTCGCATCAGAAATGTTGCTGCAACTGGGACACCGTTGAATGATGGTGAGCATTCTATTGATGGTTTACTAGTGGTGAGACCAAGTATTACAGCAGCAGCTAGTCCGATGGATGTCCATTGATGTGATCGTGATGGTAGTGTTTGTTTTACGATTATTTGATTTGAGCACGCACTGCAGAGTTGTCTCCTCGTGTTCAGTCGTGGTTTGGTTCTACATATAAAAGTGTACAAGCGATGTAAGATACGCTCCCTCGTGTTCATTATATCAACTATAGTTAAATGTAGTCTGGGGAGCTGATGCTGCTGTTTTTAAAAAAAACGAAACCACATCTTGATCCAAAACATATACGATGGCTACTAGGACAAGCAATATTCTCGCGCCAGAGACATTCAAAATCCTACAGCCTCGAGAATATATCAGACAACACGTCATCGCTCAAGGAACAAGACCCGACAAGAGAGCTTGGAATTCTGTGAGAGACACTACCATACGCACAGGTAGATTGTATTGATGAATTTGTAATTTTGTTGAGGCCTCTGTATATCAGTGTGTTCTAACCTTATGTTGTATAGGGGTCGTATCAACAGCAAACGCATCATCACTCGTGAAAATCGGCGAGACTACAGTCATTTGTGGCATCAAGGTTGAAGTAGGAGAACCAAAGTTAGATAGACCGAATCATGGATTCATAAGTATGTGCAACGAATGTCGCTGTCGTGAGCTTCCTACTCGTCAAGCTCACGGAGATCTATAACTCACAACTTGAAAAAAAGTACCAAACATTGACCTCCCCGCCATGTGCTCGCCAAGAATACGGCCTGGTCCTCCTGGTGAACTGCCTCAATCGCTTAGTGAGCAGATGAATCAAGTGTTGCACAGGTAACCGAAAGCTTGCCATGCATGCTACAAGGTCGCGTGGATTCGTTTTTTCTGCGCTACATTGACTCTCTCTCAAACTATTACCAGATGCAAGATCATCGATACCAAAGATCTATGTATATCATCAGGAAATGCAGTGTGGGTGCTGTATTGTGATGTTGTGTGTCTTGGATACGATGGGAACGCTTTTGATGCGTCCTTGATTGCTATTATGGCTGCTTTACGACAAGGTGCAAAGAAACTTGTAACCCCTCATATCTATGTAGACTGACATTACAGTTTCTCGATGTAGTTCGAGTACCAAACGTACTATACTCTGAAGCTGATGGAACCGTCAAGGAAACATCTAAACCGGTGATACCTCTCCGGATTCACAGGATACCTGTTTCATTGACTGTTGGCATATTTGAAGTGTATGCCATCATGCAAAAGAATCATCTTCAAGAATTAGCTAATTGCCCATTACAACAACATAGGAAACATTTATTAGTTGATCCAACAGACGATGAAGAGCAAGTCCTGTCTGCTACAGTGACTACAGTGATAGACGAGATTGGAATGATGTGTGGAAGCTTTCAGGATGGAGAGCCTGTGCCGTTTGAGATACTGAGGACTTGCATAGCTGCAACAAAAAGCCGCGTTGTGGACGTTTTGAAAATGATGTCGTGATTCTAGATACAGTTGTACATATATTATTTGTTTTCATACAATTCGCATAGCCGGATCTATGGATATATGATTTTGGTTGGTTTGGTCTTGGTTGACGCGTCCGTCGAAGTCATCAACTTCTTGACATCGCAAATGCACCAAGTGGCCAGACTCTCAACCAAACTTTCGTGGTCTATACCAAAGCTCGTTAATAAGGATATAATCACATTCGCAATCCGAATCAACTCTCAACAAGCAAGAAAGAACTCAACAATGACAACCGTAACATTTGGGAGTTTCAGTGCAAGCCCGGCTGGCCACGTCCTGTTGGCTGAAAAGCCAATTTTCGCTACATTTGCAACCGCTCTTCCATCCTCATTATCGCTGCCTAGTAATGTGGTGAATGCTGCTGTGCAGGCATCACAGATTGTAAGACGATGTTTGGATTTTAGTTGGATGCTATTCGTTTTGGGATCGTGGAAAGACTGTCAGAATCTAAATATCTGAATTTGCACGTAGATTTCTGAAGGAACTGCTGAAACAATTACCACGTTTGTTGGTGATTCAAAAGAGAATCGAGGACAGGTGTCGATTGGAAGCATTCCTATCGAACGATCTCGCTCGAATGGATTTGTGAGGACTGATAGTATCTATGGTACGAGCTCGTAGTCGCGTTGTGTGCCAATGGTTTACTTGTGATACAGATCGAACTTTGGTAATGTACCTGACAATGTAGAGACTGATTAATTGCTTTTTTTTCTGCCAACATAGATCTCGCCCTAAAACTAACTCCCAAAACCGGTGACATCCAAATAACCGTCCTCCTCTCCTCACTCGCCCAAACTCTCCCAGCAGGACTCGCAATAGCCCGTGCATTCCCCTTATACTCTCGCAAAAACCTCGCCGACCCAAAACCGCCACGTACCGTGCACGTAAACTTTGTCATCTGCAACAGCACAGACAGTGACAAGGAGATTGACTACGCATCATTGCAACTGGCTGCAAACGGTGTCCGATTCGCTGCTCGATTGGGTGATACACCCCCGTCTGAACTTCATACAGATGCATATGTGGAAGAGGTTAAGAGTGTTGCGAGGAAGCTGGAGCCTAATGGTGTTGAGCTGACGCTCATTAGAGGGGATGAGTTGAGGGATGCTGGACTTGGTGGGATTTGGAATGTTGGGAAGGTAAATGATGCTTCTGCAAATTGGCTGAGTTCACTCTCTCTTTTTTGTTCTGACAATTCTCATCAACTTTAAAGGGAGCAGAACATCCACCAGCACTCGCCATATTGGGGTATCGTCCAGCAGGTGCCAAAACGACACTCGCAATGGTTGGAAAGGGAGTCACGTTTGATACTGGTGGATTGTCGTTGAAACCAACTGCGTCAATGATTTCCATGAAGACTGGTATGATCAACACCGAAATACGACTTTTTTTGTGTTTCAGTGCAGTTTAACCCACATCACATGTTAGACATGTGTGGATCTGCAGCTTGTCTAGCCGCATTTGAAGCTATTGTACTCAAGGGCGCATTTAAAGAAAACCTTTACGCCGTACTTTGTATTGTGGAGAACTCGGTTGATGAGAGGTCGTACAGGAATGATGATATCTTGTACATGTACAGTGGAAAGACTGTCGAGGTCAACAATACCGATGCGGAAGGTATTTCTTGCTTAGAATTGCCGTTTTTGTGCTAGGCTTGGTGAACGCTAATGTTGTGCTTATTTGGGCAATAGGTCGACTCATTTTGGCTGATGGAATTGCATATGCTACAAAAAATTTGAATCCTGACCGTCTTGTTGAATTGAGTACGCTAACTGGTGCTCAGTCTTATGCTACTGTAAGTTTTGCTGTTGCGATGATGTTGAAAGGACACAAAAACAAGATCCTGTCAAGCTCGTGTATCAGACGTCCAAATCAGCTTCTTCTTCTACTGTTATAGGGAACCCGTCACGCTGGTTGTTTATCGAATTCAGACTCTTTCGAATCTGAAATCGTATCAGCGGGAAAACGAAGTGGTGATTTAGTGTACCCATTGCTTTACTGTCCAGAATGGTTGGGACCTGCCAAACAGTTCCCTTCAGATGTCGCTGATATGGTAAACAAAAACCCGATCACAGTACTCTTGGATGACTGGCACGATCTGATACATGTTTGCTTTCATTTAGAAAAACTCGGTAAAAGACCGCGTAAACGCACCATCATCATGTGCAGGTCATTTCCTCGAATCGCATTTTGTAGGTGATGACTGGAACGAAAATCGCAAGGGATGGGCGCATTTAGATATTGCTTCGCCCAGCGCAAGTGGTGAACGATGTACCGGGTATGGTGTTGGATTGTTGATTGAGATTGCGAAGGATTTTTCAGCGTAGAGGGGGTCATGACGCGGTTGATATTCCCTTTTTTTCCTTCACACAAGTACACGATACATTCTGACTGGACTCTGGTTTTCTGGCAGAATCGCGTTTCACTCGATTGAGTTTGCTCGGGTTTGCGTCTACGATAAGCGAACACATTTAGGTTTGTGTTCGAAGTCAACCTCGTTGGTTTGTTTTGGTGCTGACAAGGAAAGTTTTTGTTTTGGTGTTCATTGACAAGGAAAGTTTTCTTATCGATCGCTACTAATTATGGACGTAAATCGCATCATAAACTAGATAACGTAATTCTTATATCCCTCATTTATGAATTGGGAGTTTAGATCTGCCTGTTGAATAACGTCCAAAGCTGTTACATCAGAAAAAATCCAAGATGGATTTTGGACACGCTGAAAAGAGGTCCAAAGGACGGTCCTAAAGTCGTGGACTCTTTATCCTTAGACGCTGACGTCCAAGGACGTACTTGACCTTTGGGCGTGGATGCCCTTTTCTGTAGGACGCCCAAATCACGTCCCAAACAAAAAGAACGTCCTCAGCCGCAAACAGCTTTGGACGTCCAATGCTCTGTTATGCTGAGTACAACAACGACGCCATAACCAAGGGAGAGGATCATGCTGAATCGGGTAGATTTCTCAGCTGACAATAGGCTATAGTTTGGTTGATATTGTCAGATTTGGATCACTCAGGGGTCCCAAATTCGTCACAAGATAGATCACTGGCATTTACGTTGAGATGTATCAAGCAATATAGTCTTGCCAGATCCCTGCAATTCTGATACAAATATATGCTTAGTCATCTGTAATGCATCTGTTGTACTTTTTTACCTCCTTAGTATTCTTGTTGATATGTTGAGGAACGAACAAATATGAGCGACACTACAGTGCTCTGGATATTGCTCTTTAAACGAGATGCTGAAGACGCTGACGAGTCATTGGCTGCACTTCACAAGTTGGGAGACGCTACAAGACTGAAAATTGATTCTTCAATGGATGTCGACCTACTACGCAAATATCTCATCAATCATGGAGACTTCAAAGATCGATTAGCTGATGTGAAACCAGATCAATTATATGTATATATGGATGCAGAATGCAAAACGCCACTCGGAGCCGACACATCACTAAATGCCATTACAACATCTGCCAAATCTCCATTGAGAGTGGTGAGGCCCGCTCCACCTGTAAGCAGGATGTCTTTTACGATGGAAACACCAGGTAAGCAACTGCCCTCGTTTGGTAATGTCACTATTGCTGTTGATTTGAACAATATTGTTTTACTCACACAGCAAATCCAGAACCCAAAGTACAGGCTATGCGACTTCTCTATTCAATACTCTGGAACAAAAGACAATCAACGCACGATAGTCTTCATGCAACTGTAGTATGCAATGTTCCAACTCTGGCAACCATGCAGCAAGTTGGGGAGTTTGACACCGCCACTACTACACTCTCTCCATTGAGTTTCACTGTGATTCAATTGAAAGATTTGCTGGATAAATTCAGATCGCAAGGACTGCTAGGTTCATTCCCATTATTCAACAAAAGGTCTGCGGCCGACATAGACAAACTACTTGTGAACCAGGAGTACCGCCTTCTGCACGAGTTTTTAAAGAGGATCTCTGCTGAGGGCATTGTCAAGCAAGTAATACCGTCTCGAGCTATATTAGGGAACCCTGGAATTGGTAATACACTCTTTTTTTTGCGTTGATGTTAAATTGGGCATTGACAAGTCCTACTGTGATGAAACAAGGAAAGTCCATCTTTTTGCTATATATCTTGATCGAACGATTACTGGATGGTCTACCGACAGCGCTTCAAACTGAGCTATCTTGCTATCATTATTTTGATCATTCTGGCGTCGTCATGAATCCACCTAGTAGAACCTGTCCGTCAGATATTGGGAATCCAACTTGGGCCTTGGTTGATTCAAATGAAAAAGTTGCGACTCCCTGCGAGGGATTTCTCGGCAATGATCAAGTATTAATGCTTCAAGCGACTTCACCGAAAGTCGAGCGCTATAGAGAGTGGACGAAGCAAGCTGCTGCATTGCTCTATTACATGAATACTTGGACGTGGGAAGAAACTGCATTTTATGGGTAAGTTGTTTAGTCATCATTGCAATTTTCTGATGATGATGACCATTATAAAGCTCTGAGGTGCTCCACTTGGACATGAATCGAATATGGGAAGCTTGGAATGATTGGAATCCTTGTCCTCGATATTGCTTCAGCATTGCGAAATCCGAGGCACTTATGCAGTCATATCAAAAGAGTGTGATCAAAACTCTCCAAGAGACGAAACAGAATCTCCTTCAACTCCTGCTCTTTGGAAGTTCTGCCAATCCAGATCAGTCCTCAAAGCTAATACTCTTATCTGGTGCTCAAGTTCAAACTGCAGAGGCCTGGAGTCTCGGCCGAATAGACTGCAAAGTAGAAATAATAGGAAAACAAGTCATCCGAATGATGAGTGAAGAAATGGAAACCCGCTCCGATGTCGATCGTAGTTCTTTCTATCATATGCTAGGGAGTACATCAGGTGAAGCAGCTGTACGTGGTATGATGCTGGAAGCCAGAATGCACCATCTTATGTCCACGAAAGGGCTTCCACTCACTGCTACATGTCTGACCGACAAATCAGAGTTACTTGTTGCACCAACAGGTACGTATATATTGCTCAGTCGGATTGAAAAGTTCTTTTAACCCTCATGACCTTGGAATGCTAGAGAAAGTCGTCAGATTCGTGAAGACCGATTTGTCAGCAATGCTGAAGGACAACGAGTTTGCGTATTTTTGGCCAATAGCCTCAAATCATGCCAGTTTTGATGGATTTATATGGGACAGGAAGACTAGCATCATTATTCTATTGCAGGCTACGGTTTCAGGTGTCCATCCAATAAAGCAAAGCGGTATAAAGCAAACCGGTCTCGAGCAACTTCGGAAAGCATTTCGAGACGCTGGCTTGAGAATACCTGAGTATCCATGGCCACTTGTAATTTGTACCTCAATCAATGAACTTGGAATTCAAACTGCTCAGCAAGTCCAGGGAGTTTGGAATACTAGACTTACTCAGTACACCTTGAAGATACCTATATAAGTAAGCTTTGGAGTCGCACAAACCCTGACGCCGTCGACATCTATCAAGTCTTTCGTACATTGCAATCAAATGATCACTTGTGAAATCGTCAAATAGCAACCAACTATGGCTTCATTATGCAAATAAAGAATATTTGTTATGTAGTGTTTGAAGTTGCACATTATTGAAAGTTGAATGTATATATTAGATCTTTTGCCTTCCACATTGCATTAACAAATAAATATAAACATTTCAAATTATATTCTGCTGTTCGGTTTGTGCCTGGAATCGACGAAGTACGGCCAATTCTGCCATATTGTTTAAACCCTGGAGTTAATACGGTAGACTCAAGTCGTTATGGTAAGATGAACCCAAAAATGGAATGCCAGGAAATATGGTCATCCCTCAACACCAAAACTTCAAGGCGGAAGTAGTTTACATGGTATCGTTTGGACAGTCTCCCTTGGGAATACGTCGGAACTGTTGTAAGGGCTGTCTGGATGGTGCGATGCTGGGTTGTATAAGTTGCTCTTCGGAATTTAGGGTCTCACTTGTCTCAGAAATTGAGCCGAACTAGTATAGCAAAACTACAATCTAACACGTCGCCCCGCCTCCTACAGGCCCAAAACAACGAGTTTGTAAACTACTTCCCCCTTGAAGGTTAGATTTTGGGGGGCAGAAGAATTACAAGCCAATGCCAATTCCTTCGAGACTTCCTGAGACATGCGAGACCCTACATTATGAGAAGCAACTATTGTACAACCCATTATAGCGCCAAATAGATATTTGACGACAGTAGTATGTCCACCGTACGCTGCAATCCACAGTGGTGTCTGGCCGTTCTGAATGGCAAGGTTGACATCACCTCCCTCTTCGAGAATGAAGGAAAAAGATGTAAACCGGACAGTCCAAAGTCAAACAGACAGCAGAAGGAGATTCCTACATGCTCGAATAGATACTTGACAATATCAAGATACCCTACTCCCGCTGCGACGAAGAGTGGTGTTTGCCCTGCGTGATTGGCAAGTTTAACATCAGCTCCCTGTCGAGAATGAAGAATAGAGCATTTTAATGAACAGAGATTCTAACAAACAAATACGAGAGGGAGATAGCGTACTTTCTCAGCAATCCATTTCACTCCCTTATTGTTCTCATTGTAATCTGCAATCCAGAGCAGTGTCCCCCCTCCCCGATTGGCAAGTTCTCCTTAAACAACGAGATCTAAACCAGACGTTCCGAAGAAAAGCAGACAACGGAACGACATTCTCTAATAGTCCAATAGATACACAACCATGCGTGATTGCGACATTGGCATTGCAGCCCAAACAGGTGCGATACGGATTCAGCACTCTTAAGGACTGAGACATCGTAATTTAAACCACCGAGAAAATGGCAGCAGCGAAAGATTACAAAATGTTCAAAGGTATTGATGCCTGCGTCAGTATGTCACATGATTGTCCATACGACAAGTTTTAGCATCGTAATCAATGTTGCTCTGAGTGCAACAGCGACACCATAACGAAGATAGTATGCAGAATCTGGTAGATTTCTCAGCTGGCGATAGTCTATACTTTGGTTTGCATTGTCAGACTTGCCTCACTCAGGTTTACAAATTCGTCACCAGATAGATCAGAGGTTGAGAATGTTCCAAGCAATATAGTCTTGCCATGGCAGGTCCAACAAAGAGACATCGATAGTAAGCTTGACATTTACACCTGCAAGAGCAGCGACAGTCCGCCTAACACCAGAATATCCACCAACGCCAGGCAAATTACGACAACAAACTGTTTTAATGCGAGAAACGCTAGCTGACTATAGAGCGGACGGTTCGTTCCTACAAGCCGACTTCTACAGGAGCAGGACACTCCAAGATCTGACGAGCTATTTGTGACCGAGCCTCTAAGGGGGCTGCATGCAGCGGAGCACTCAACGTAGCAATATCACGCTTTCGACTAGCCTGTAACTTGTCTGCATAGGAAGGAGCTCCACGAACCTCATATACTACGTGGAATGCGATGCTTATGCCTTAGTGATGTGTACAAATTTTATCAAGAAAAACTCTGCAATAAATACTTATGATGCTTCATAATGCGATCTTGCATCTTCAAATACAAGATGTATCAACATTTCAGTAGAGAGACCTTCGTTGTGTAGCCTTGGATCATCTGGGGATTTGTCAAATAATTCGAGGAACGCATAAATGAGGCCTTGAGTATCCACATCTTCTTTGACGAATGCAAGTGTAAGCACGGCCTTCATCAGCATCCATACGTCACAGCCGAACGAGTAGTGCATTTCTGGCTTTCCCAGTTTCGTTTGCGGTATATACTGGTTGCTAAATCCATCAGGTAGGCGTCCTACCCTTCCGCAGTGTTCCAAGTCAATCAAAACATATCGATTTTCTACTCGCACAGTGTTTTCCAAGCGTACATCACGGTGAACCAATCCTGCAGTGTGCAGAGCCTAGTTGGAAACGCTGCTTGAGTTCCCCACGTGCATAAGCCAAACAACATCAGCCAGTCACCTGCAAGGCCTTCAATATACAGTAAAATACCTGCGACCCAAGGAAATGTCCATGATATCACGGATATTGCTACCAACAGGCCATAAGCATAAAGTCAATTTGGATCTTTTAAATTTGCTTTTGGACAAGTCTAGCTTGATCAAATATGGAGAGCAGATAGAGTATGCACATTTCAGATCCTGAAAGCCAACCAGAATTCAGCACAGTGCACTAATCCGAAAATTGCTGCTCATGCCCACCGCGACAGTTGAGTTCGCCCAAGGCATCTTGTTTGTTTTCACGACATAATTATTGTGAAATACGATTGACTAGGAAGGCGACATCAGACACCGGCCAAATGTGATTTGGGTGGAGTTTCTTACCCCATTGTGGCGATAATATTCCACTCCTATTTTCCACTTCACACGGAACTCTACCTCTTGATTCAAAAGCACAAGTCCGTGAATCAATCGAAACATGTTGATGACAGTGATCAAAACCGCCAAGCGATCAGAAGCAGATA